CTAATCTGTTTTTATCTTGGAGATTTACAAGGCAGCATCTTATGTTAACTGAGTATACTCAGATTATATTCTATTGCTCAGATTCAGCTTCCAGTCAGGAGTCAAGATTTAGTCTATTGTGGAACCTTTTTCTATGATACCTTATTTTCCTTCTTTGCAGATACAAAAAGATATCTACATAGCTTTAGAGTAGGGCCGTCAATTAATCACAGTTAACTCACACGATTAACTCAAAAAAATTAATCGTGATTAATCACAGTTTTAATCGCACTGTTAAACAATAGACTACCAGTTGAAATGTATTAAATATTTTTGGATGTTTTTCTACATTTTTAAATATATTGATTTCAATTACAGCACAGTATACAAAGTGTACAGTGCTCACTTTATATTATTTTTATTACAAATATTTGCACTGGAAAAATGGCAAACATAAATAGTATTTTTCAATTCACCTAATACACATACTGTAGTGTGCCATCTCTTTATCGTGTAAGTGCAACTTACAAATGTAAATTTTTTTGGTTACATAACTGCTCTCAAAAACAAAACAATGTAAAACTTTAGAGCCTACAAATTCACTTAGTCCTACTTCTTGTTCAGCCAATTGCTAAGACAAACAAGTTTGTTTACATTTACGGGGATAATGCTGAAAGTGAGAACAGGCATTCGCATGGCACTTTTGTAGCCGGCATTGCGAAGTATTTACATGCCAGTTATGCTAAACATTCGTATGCCCCTTCATGCTTTGGCCACCATTCCAGAGGACATGCTTCCATGCTGATTATGCTTGTTAAAAAAAATAATTCATTAATTAAATTTGTGACTGAACTCCTTGGAGGAGAACTGCATGTCTCCTACTCTGTTTTGCCTGCATTCTGCCATGTATTTCATGTTACAGCAGTCTCAGATGATGACCCAGCACATGTTGTTAATTTTAAGAACACTTTCACTGCAGATTTGACAAAACAAAGAAGGTACCAATGTGAGATTTCTAAAGATAGCTACAGCACTCGACCCAAGGTTTTAGAATCTGAAGTGCCTTCCAAAATCTGAGAGGGACGAGGTGTGGAGCATGCATTCAAATATCTTAAAAGAGCAACACTCCGATGTGGAAACTACAGAACCCAAACCACCAAAAAAGAAAATCAACCTTCTGCTGGTGGCATCTGACTCAGATAATGAAAATGAACATGCGTCAGTCCGTACTGCTTTGGATGGTTATCAAGCAGAACCCATTATCGGCATGGACACACGTCCTCTGGAACGGTGGTTGAAACATGAAGGGACGTTTGAATCTTTAGTGCATCTGGCACATATCTTGGAACTCCGGCTACAACCGTGCAATGCGAATGCCCGTTCTCACTTTCAGGTGATATTGTAAACAAGAAGCGGGCAGCATTATCTCCTGCAAATGTAAAAAAAAACTTGTTTGAGCAATTGGCTGAACAAGAAGTAGGACTGAATGGACTTGTAGGCTCTAAAGTTTTACGTTGTTTTATTTTTGAATGCAGTTTTTTTGTACATAATTCTACACTTGTAAGTTCAACTTTCATGATAGAGATTGCACTACAGTACTTGTATTACGTGAATTGAAAAATACTATTTATTTTATTTTAGAAACATGGAGTCCTCTCATGTCATTACCCAGTATGTGGCACATGAAATATGTAATAACTCCCCCCCCTCCTCCGCCCCCATAACTTAAGATCTCTTCATGAGAGGAGAACTCACAACTCCCATTGACAGAAACAGGATAGTTGCCTTGGTAGCAGGATGGACCAGATAAGATCAATCTGTTTACCCTTATATAAATAAGAAATCTCTCTCTGAATAGGGAGATTTTCTGGCACTAATGTCAGTTGATTTCAGGAGAACTGCTTTGAAACCTATGAGTTTTAAATAAAAAAATGCTGAAACTAAATGCTATCAAAATTGCTCTATATCACTTCTCTGCAATAATAAAAGGGAAGGGAAAATGAATAAAGTTTGATGGTATGGTCATGGTGTCTTCTATATAAAAGAACTGGACGTCACAAGATCAATAACTGTACTGAAAAGCACGGACTTAACAAACAAAAATGTTTTCTTTAAAACTATGGGTTAATGCATGGATTGTTGTCCCAGAGGGCATAGAGTCTTTTCTCTCCTACACTCAGACCACACCCAAAATGCAAACGGCATGGAAGAATCATTCCCTGAAGCTCAAGAGGCCCAGGAGTTTTTTGCAATGTTAGTACACCAGAATATGCCTTTCTTGCCCTATTTAGATTTTTTTAAATAATTGTCTGTCGTGGCATGCTGATGCCTGGACTGTTGTTATTCCTCCTTATTTCTTCCTTCAATATAGACCCTGTGAGGTTTCAGACCTCTCAATAACCAAACCTCATTTCGTCCAGCAGGCTTTCTGCTATTAAGGCCCTCTGTCTGCCCTGGACAAAGTAGTGTAGATCCTATGAATTTAGGTCCTCACAAAGAGATATAAAATGAGGGATGATTACTGGTGACTAAATCAATCCTACACTCCAATTTGGGAAACCAGCAGATCTTATCAAGTAGACACTTTCCTGACAGGTTTCACATTCATCTTCTATTGACTTATCACACAAAAGCAGGGGTTCTTCTAAAGTGACTGCACACTTGTCTAGGATAGGAGCTGGATCACCAGCTTTCAAATAAGCTATCCTGTCTGTAAAGAAGGTTTCCCTTTTTGTCAAGCACCAGAATACACAAGTATTTGTATTATTCTACAAAGGGCTTTCACAGACTCCAAGACGTATACCCAAGAGATTGTTCCTTGATCAGTCCCAAGTATGATTTCACCTTCAGACACTTTTAATGTTTTCTGAGATTAATATAGGCAGGAAGTGGGAACAGCGTATATTTCTATGCTGAAATTCCATTTAATATAAAATCTACTTTTGGATTCCTGGGGTTCGGTAGAGACAGATATGTTACAGCAAATTCTACTAAACAGACTAGCTGCATACTTTCTCAGGTACTCCATCAAAACTTAACAATGGAATATCTTGCATATAAATTGCAGGATAAGACAAAAAAATCCCATGGTATATGGGATTTTTACCTCTCCTGCATCATATTTAGGATGCAAGCCCCCTCCCCCCCCAATGTTTTTATTGAGGATTGCATACCTGCTCCTCCATCCCATCGTCTCTATTAGAAAGATGATTCATTCTGTTAGAGGCTGCTGCATGCAATAGAATGAATTGTGACACTTTATGCTTGTTGTGTTTGTATGTAACCTTTGATTTATACGGACTGTATACTATATTATTCCATTAATATCTTGACAAATGATACCATGCCTTTTTCATACAATAGGAAGATATTCCATGTTATGTGTGTGCATTGTTTCTTTCCTTGTGAAAAAACACTTCAATTTTATTTAGATGGTGCAGTGGTGAGAAAAACATTCCTCAGACATATTATAGCCTATATCTGGGGAAGGACTGGAGGGAGGGAAAACTTCTGTATTTTTAAAATATTTTTTTAAACTTCTGATTTAACCACATTATCTTTTTTGTTTTAAAAGGATTGAAGTAGAATAACTTTTTTGCTGAATGACATTTAATGAAATAACATTTGTCATTAATCTTATGAGTATAAAATTAATGTTCTCTTCTCCCTGATGTGATTAAATCTAATTGTTATATCTACTTTCATGAATGTCTGTATTTCTAACTACAGTATTTATTATATTGTGTCTGCATGTATACATCAATATACAACTAAATCACAGAATCATAGAAATGTAGGGTTGGAAGGGACCTCAAAATCATCAAGTCCAGCCCCATGCATTGAGGCAGGACCAAATAAACCTAGACCATCCCTGACAGGTGTTTGCCCAACCTGTTTTTAAAAACCTCCAATGATGGGGATTCCAGAACCTCCCTTGGAAGACTATTCCAGCAGTTAAATCCCTTATAGTTAGAAAGTTTTCCTAATATCTAACCTAAATCTCCCTGGCTACTGATTAACTCCACTACTGTCTATCCTATCTTCAGTGGATAATGAGAACAATTGATCCCAGTCCTCTTTATGATAACCAATAACATATTTGAAGACTGTTATTGGTCCTCCTTTATAAAGATCGTCTGGCTTGAAAATGAAAATGTAAAGTAATTCCCAAAGTGGAATATGAAAATCTTCTATTCCTTCTGAAATGTAAATTCATAGTATGTTTGTAAAACGCTGTATAACCTTAAAAGCTCAATATCACTACTTATTAATGATAAATGAGAGCTTGTGCTCTAATGCAAATTTGTGCTGTATCTATTGTATAGTAAGAGTTGTAGTTCATTCTGGAAATAGTGTTACAATACGTTGAAATCTATCACTTCCTCAGATATACACTTTATCAATATAAAACTGATAGGGCATTTTAAAATCTGAATATAATTTTTCTTTTAGAGGATAGAACAAATTGATAAACTAAAAGGGGAAAGTTTCTGACTATTGGGTGGAATGTGGGCATAATTTTCAAAGCAGTCTCTGTACCTGCACCCATAATCTGAGCACATCCCGTTTTTGTGTATAGAACTCTGTATGCACACAAATTCTGCATGTGTGGTTTCATGGGCTTTCTGAAAATATGGATATATATGTGTGTCTAGCAACTTTCTCTTCACAAAGGATCTTAAAAAAGCAAATATTTGGGTTCCGTAATATTCTACTGTTTATAACTCTGTTCTGTCTATTTATAATATTAGTATGCTCTCTTATGTAAAGTGGTAGTTAGGAGGAGAATATTCTTTTTTTTTAAAATCTTCTTTCCTTCTCATTCTCCATCAGTCCAATGTCACTTAAAATGTTATGCTGACACTGAGCATTTATATAAAAAAAAAAAAAAAAAGCAGGGGCCAAGGGAAAAGTGAAGATGAGCACCCTTTGGCTATATATATTTTTGAAATTTAATTCTAATAGCCTCAGAACTAAATATAGACCATTGTCATAAGACTAATTTTTGTGTTCGTTGATAGATGAATTCTGGTTCTCAGATGGCTCCCTATCTGATAGAGCCAAATTCAACGATCCTGGCCTGATGCCCCTTCCAGACACTGCCGCAGAACTAGACTGGTCCAACCTGGTGGATGCTGCACGAGCGTTTGAAGGTAAGAAAATTCAGCATAAAGACTGCTCTTCCAAGTTTTTCCCATATTTTCCATATCCTCATTTTAAATAATAAAAATCTTATATGTATCTCAGTAGTTATAGCCTTTTCTGTCCTTTTTGTAATATCACTTACTTTCAAATGAGGAAACGTGTTGGACACAATATGTACTGTGTGGCTGCTATCAACTCTGCATGTGCAGTCCAGGTGATGTTGCCCCTCCCCCAGCTCGCATAATAAGCCCCCAGAAGAATGTTGCAGTGGTACAAGTATTAAAATGTCTATTGATATGTTTTCAAAAATAGTGTGCAGTCAGGAAGTAGAGCAGTCTTGCAGAATTGGACTATAATTCCAGGTTAAGCTGGAGAAAATGACATACTCATCTCTTTGATATCAAACCTATACATGCTTAGTTTAAAAGTAAACAGAATAGTAGACATGCATATTTAAAGGTTTTGTTTTAATGTATGCTTTGGTCAGGTCTTTCTCTGTACTGTCCTAGAGTTCAACAATCTCAAGTAGAAAGATTTTGTCGCTTTACTCTTTAGTTAAAGAGCTATTTAGTCAGAACTATTGTAGTACTATTTTGAATGAACAGAAAATGTATCACAGTGATGGTCATCATTCTAAAACACTATCTTGCTTTTTATCCTGATTAACTTTGAGTTCCTTCGTCTCTGTTTAGCCCTTCTCAGATAAATTTCTCCTAACTGGTAGGAAGTATTATAAAATTGAAAGATACTCTGAAAAGGATTCCCATTGTATTTTCTCACTTGGTTGCTTGGGGGGAAGATAGGTGTGTATATTTTTGTTACCAATATCCTAATGCAGCAACTGGAAAATAAAGACTTATCAGTACAAAGAAGAGTTGGAGTGATGTAATTGTGTTCATGCTAAAGCAGTTCTTACTGCTGCATAAAAAACATTTTGATATTCAACAACTCTGATCAGTTCAGCTGACTGAAAGTACTTGTTCTGTCCTCCTATTTTCTGAAACGCAGATATTTTGAAGTCTTTTAGAAACTTTTTATTTACATTTTTCTAATCTCCTTAAACCTTCAGCTCAGAATAATGGCATACTGCTTTATTCTGCAATTAATCAATTTGAGCAGCAACTTCTACATTCTTATAATTTAAGGGTTATTCTCAGTAGTTGCACAGTCATATTTTTTCTCGTTTGTTCTGTTCAAATAGGAGAAGCTATTGACTGACTTGTTTTTAGTTGCATATAGTTCAGATATTTTCATTTATTCATTTTGTACTACAGTCTGAGTCACAAAATAGAGATTGTCTCATTGTGATTGCTTTGTGAATTATTTGAAAAATGAGTTGTAATGAAGATTCCCATAAAGAATGCTATAGTAAGTGTTTCTATGTTTTTTCTGTTAGTGGGTACATTTCATTTCTGTTAGTGGGTACATTCATGCAGAAGGTGGAAAGATCTATGCATGTGCTATATAACCTATAAAACAGTATAACTAATTTTTTGATTTTATGCTATGATATGGACCTCCTGAGTGGAAATGGGCTTTCTAAAAGATTTGGTCAACTTTCTGCATCCTCAGTCTCACAACCAGAAAGCCAAAGTCAAAATAGGCACAACGGACTAGCATATCGTGAAAAGTTCATTTGGAGGGAGTCCATTATAACAAATAATGAGTTCTTAAAATAGTTGGGTTTGAATTGGAGGAAGCAGATGCTATTTTCCTGTGTATGTTGAAGTTGTCCTTCGTAATTGAGGAATCACTTCAAGACTTGGTATTAAGAGTAGGTGGGAGCTAGTGTTCTGGACTCTATAAATGTAATGAATAGAGAAATGATGATCCCCGAGATGATAAAAATGCCAATGGAGTTTTGCTATGCAGGGTTCACGGTGTTCGAAACTGAACATTTCTAGAAGTTTGGAAATGAAGCCAAATGGCTAGTTCAGCATTCTTCTTTCAGAATATTTTAAAAAGGAAAGGTCTGTAGCAGCACAGACATTGGGATGCCACAATCATTTCCTTAGCTGTGTGGGGATTAAAACCTCTGAGACCTTTTTATTTTGGTAGATGAGAATGTGATCAAAACTTTTGAGATATATGTCTGTCTTTAAAGAAAGTCTTCATTAACTGGATCACTTAAGCCATTGTTAAAGGGGTTGTTTGCTACTGAAGATTTAAGAAATTAAAGTTAGATTAGTCTCCAATTCTGATCTGCCAAGTCTTCTAACAATTATGCAATTTACAGCCATTGAGAGGGGAACATTATTTTAGTTTTCTTTTTTCATACAAGGCAGTTTCTCTACATCTCTTCCTCTCCATAGCTGGCGGCATGATTCAAAGGTCATTTCTTTCTTGGGTCTCTTTATTCTATCTACTGACAACCCATAAAATTTATGCTTATTCATAAATACACATTATGAGCTATTACCATCATTCTTCTGTGTTTTAAACCCAACTCTCATCCAAGCTGCAACAATATGGAACAGATGAGTGATTTTAAGCCTGGGAGTGATGCAATTAAGAATGAATATGTCGACATCGCTTTTTATTGCCATCACAGCTAGAACTTGAAATTCACTGTTAGATGCTACAAAGGCCTTCTTTCGTAATATAAAGCTAAATGAACAAATAGCTTGTTTTCCCCTGGTTAACTCATCATTAGTTATTCTTTCAGTTCATTTTGCTCCTGCAAAGTTTTTGGTCTAAGATAATGTTGAAAAATATATATTTTAAAATTGATACTGAGATTTTTTTAGATATTGCTGTAACCCTTGCTTGATAAAAGCCCCTGTGAATAGAATGCTACAGGATCTTAGAGATCCAGGTACCAGTGCTTCCAGCAGTTCAGACTCTTCCTCAGGATCCTGATGCTGCTGGTCTCCTTCATGACAGTCACGTTTTGAGGATCCCACTTCTACCACCCCTTGCTAGACAAGAACTTTGTGCACAGGTGGATGATGAAGCCTCACACTAACTAGGATCTTGACGAGAGGGAGCCTGGGCAACTTCCCTTTTTTTCCTGTAGCTCGACCTTGTGGTCCAATTTTCTCTTCAGAGATGGCCTTTGGGGTCTATGAAGTCCATGATTGGGACCATTTTAAATATCAAAGCAAAACTTACTTGTCTTTATATAAAAAAAAAAAAAAAAAAAAAAAGTTTTCTGCACTTCTTGCTTCAGACAGAGCCTTGAAAATGGAAACCAATTTCTAGAGTTGAAAGTTCACTGCTAGTATTTCCTGACGTTCTTGTGGAGTTCACAGTTCCCACATGGTCACTTGGAGAGGGCCTTTGCGATTGATGAAATCAACAGGAACAGTTCCTTGCTTTTTGAACCCGTTCATGGCTGGGGAGAAGTGGGGGTTAGAAAGGCTGCAACTGATGCTGCTAGAACACCCAAGGCTCTCTCCTGTCTGCTTGTCAGCTGCTTGCAGTTGGCACCCCTTTCCAGAGCAGTCAGCATGGCGTGCAGCTCAGCTCAAACATTGATTCTCGTTGTGTCCTTGGCCAAGACACTTTTAAAATTTTGATCTGTTTCCTTAATACTTAACCACATTACTATGATGTGGTGACCATTGTTTATAGACTGCAATGCCTATAATTAACTCACTTGTGGTTTCACCACTTGTACTCATTAGTCACATTCCAAATTTATGGCAATGCAACAAGCGTGTATTCTCTGTGTATAATATGGGAAGAAACTTGAAGAGCTAATGGAATACAGCTGAGACCAAAGCTGACAGATGAGACTACAGAGGGAAAAGGGGACAGATAAGAGACGAAAGGGTAAAGAGAAAATGTAACATGGAAGAGGAGAGAGAGGAACTGAACAACAGAGAATTTGGTGCTACTATGCAAGACACTAAAGAAAGAAGAGTATAGACTAGAAAGAAAACAATAAACAGAACTGAGAAAAGAGAATTGTATTTAGATTGATAGATTAAAATGGAGAATGAATGGAGAGAAGGGGATAAAGAAATGTCAGAGAATAAGCAGGAAAAGAGACAACCTTTAGAAAATTTGATTCATATTCCTTTGTTTTATTACACTTCTCTGAAATCCTCGTAGTTCTGAGTTTGGGGCAGAGCCATGTACTTTTGAGTACTTGCGTTATATTAATAGTGATGGCTTCTCCGGAAAATCAAATAACTGAAGAGTATAGTGAAGCAGAAAAACAGAAAACTCTCCAAGATTCCCACAAGTGCTTTTCATTCTAGAAGATTGGGGTGGGACATAAACATAAACGTTGTCTCTTATGTACAGACCCAGCAGTATTTGTGTCACTGTTGATTGGTTGTTTTAATTTAAACATGGGCGTTATCTCTTTTTTAAATAATATTTTGGGGCTTAAACAACCTGACAGAGAGTCCCTTTAACCAAATCATAAACAATACATATATAAACAAAAGTAATTTCAACCACTGGTGTATACCAGGTATTTCGTGGTTCTAAGCTACTTATGCCAATTAGAATGCACCATTTCTTAATGACATTTTATCTTTGTGGCACCATCTGTGCTACTATAATTAATATTGTTTTAACATCTTCATTTTAAATCTTCATAGTTTAATAAAAGTTATGCATAAAAGTTATGCTAAACATATTGTGATTAGGGGAAAGAAAAGCATTCAGCATAAAAGATAAGTATCTAATCAAATTAGCTAGTTTAAGTGTTTAGAAAAATAAAATTCAAAAACATTTAGGAAAAGTTCTGTCTTCTGATATGCATGTGTAACTCCTGTTGACTTCAGTGAAAGTTTGTGAGCATGTCTGGGGACAGAATTTGACCTTGAGACTGGAGTTTAGCAATGAGAGGGTCACTTCATGCACCATTTTATTTTTAGCCTTCTTCTATTATGCTGTATGTTACCTAACTTAAACTGTTTGGATTTCCCCCCCCCCCCCCCCCCCCCATCTGTGATACTACTGAACAAATGCAGTTCTGATCCAGATTCTGCTCTTTTACAACTATGCAGTCCCATTAACATCCACTGAGTTGGATGGGTTGCACATTTTGGCCCAGTGTCCTCATTTTTGTCTGTCTGGAGTAGGCAATTTTTGCTTAAAATTTTGATGTAAGTATCCATATATCTTCTCAAGTAATTGGCTTGGGAAATGACATACCAAACCAAAATTAGCTTCTGTTAATGTCAATAGGAGTTGTCCTTGCAGGTTTTGGTAGCACAAGTGTTGCAATCATAGACAAAAGACTAGCTTCTTCTCTCATGTCAATTTAACTAGGGTTACCATATTTCAGCACGGAAAAAAGAGGACGGGAGGAGCCCCGCCCCCGTCCTGCCCTAGCCCCGCCCCCGTCCTGCCCTAGCCCCGCCCCTTCCACTCCCCGCCCCCCTCAGAACCCCAACCCTCCCCCTGCTCCTTGTTCCCTGACTGCCCCCTCCTGGGACCCCTGCCCCTAACTGCCCCCC